CATTTTGGAAAATAATAAAATGTAGTATAATTTATAATTACCGAAAGATTCGTAAGTTGGGAAAAAATGGCATTTGATTTGAAAAATTATAACTTTTCATAATAAATGAATATAAAAAAATCACTCCAGGGTTTTGTAGTTTAGATATGAAGTTAATGAAAAAAAAAAAATACTAGAACTCCGAACTACAAAAAGTTGAATTATTTGAACACATGAATATGAGTAATTTTCAGTAAGGGACATATAGAAAATATCGAGTTAAAATACGCATTTTTTTATTTTGTTGTAAAATAATGTATTTTTTCATTAAAAAAATGTAAATTTTAATACACATTTAGATAAATATGTAAAGAAGAGCGTGACTCGCCTCTTCAGTTTTATTTATTTTGTCTAAAAAATAAATAATTCTTTTAGAAAAAAAAATTTTTAATTAAAACAAACATTGAGACATTAATTTAGAGTGAAAATAGAAAATATCTACCCATCTTCAGTAATTAAAACCCTACTCTAAATATCGGTTATATACAAAGATGTATGCGGAAATAACAGGTATATAAAAAAATTGTACTATTTTAGTAATTGATCAGAAGAAATTAATTTTAACACAATTTTTCAGTGCTATGGTTTTATGCTCTTTTTCTTCACCAATTTTTGATTATAAACCACTTCTTTTTTAATTTACTTAAATGTGTGTGTGTGTGTATAAATATTATATGACCGAGACAAATCAGTTATAAATTAAATTTTATCCGCTGTTTACATTGTGCCTTCTAATTTATTATATATTTATTATTCTGTCTTATTTTATATGTAATTTTAAAAATAATATGACCATATCACAGTATAGGTAAGAACAGTAGTTTCACTCATCCAAAAATAGTGACAACTGTTCTGCACAATTTTCAACATGGCGCACCAATTAGTTTTCCTATTCCCTAAGATTCTTCGCTCTTATAGGTGCTCACGCACAATTTTCAACATGAGACATAAAGATCAAAGGTGCCGACACAGAGTGAAATTACTGTTCTTATACCAGAGAGAAACCTCTCTGACATAAGCATTATTCTATTTTTCTTAACATTCAGTAAATAAAAAGATAGAACGACACTTGTGCCGACTTATATCATCAAACAGAAAACACATCAGTAATTACGAATAAGGGTGCTATCCCATGACAGGCGGAATTTCGAAAAAGTCACACGACCAATCAGAATCATTTAAGTTTAGCACATTATACAAATAAATGATTCTGATTCGTCGTATTACTTTTCCGAAATTCCGATTGTCATAGGGAAGCACTTTAAGACATATAAGAAGTACTCATATACGAGATAAAGGTAAAGAAAACTGCCTCAGTCCGCCTTAGCGATAAAGAATGTGCTCTCTTTATTAAATTTTCGTTTTATAACTACACAGAAATGAATAGCATACGGAATAATTAAACGACTGTACAAACGCGCGAAAACAATTTCAAGTTTGCGTTGCTGTATTCATATTCATAACATATTCATAAGCAACATGATGGGACGCATTCACGCATCGCGAGATCTGGAATGAAGTTGCGCGCGGAACTCCCGCCCCCGTTGCTCTCATGATTGCTCTCGCGTTCAAGCGCGCGCACGTTTCCGAAACTTAAATGTCTGGATCAAGAATGAAATGTAAATGGCATGAAATTAAACGTTTACGGAGGGATAGGGTTAAAAAAAAGTCTTTGGCAGTTGGTTTTAATGATCGTTTCCTTCTCTCATTTATTGAGGATAACTTTTTGAATGTCGCCTTAGGCAAACTTGGCCCGATTCAGCCGGGTCCCCTGGATCGCGCCGCTAACTTCAATCCGCGGCCTATTTGCGGACAGCTTCGAGTCACGAGACATGTGTCTCTAGAATAAATTAAAAAAGGAAAAGAAAAAAAAAAGATAGGAAAGAAAGAAAGATACGAAACAGAAGGTGAGTCCGTCGGTTAGGAGGCCTCGAATCTCGAAGGCCTTTATTCAATCGCCGCAGACGAATTACGCGAACCATTCCCTCACGCTACAGACGATTCGTCCTTTACACCGAACACAATACATTCTTCAACGCAATTATGCATCGTATGATACTTCGACGTAGAGAATTTACACTCTGGCGAAAATAAAGACCGGAGTGTAAGTCTAATATAAAGGAAGAGAACATAAATGAAGTTTCTAGGAAGGGGGTAAATTAAAATAGCGTTAAAAAAAAGCGTTTTAAAAGTTAAATTCCTTTTAGGATAAGATGATACAATTTCAAACGTAGTACAATTCTGAATGGAATAAAATTTGAATCCAACTTTTGAGATTTAAGTTTGGTAATTCTTTCATTGTATGGAAGGCAGAGTTGGGCATGTATTTGAAATACTTTTATTTAAAACACACTATTTGCAATACAAGCATATTTTGTATTTTTTATTTTAGCGAATCACATAAAAGTATTACGTATTTTGTATTTAAAATCGAAAGATTGAAAGCTTTTTGTATCTTGTAATTCAAATAATAAGGTTGATTATCAATGTTAGT